ATCACATGCAAACACACACCATCACACAGACACAGCTCTCGTGTGTACACACATCACATGCAAACACACACCATCACACAGCACATGTGTGCACACACACCACATGCAAACACACACCATCACAAAGCACACGTGCACACACACACCACATGCAAACACACACCATCACACAGCACACGTGCACACACACATCACATGCATCAGCACATCAAACACATAGCACATGTGCATACACACACTCCAGCTCAAGGCAGCCTGCAGACTCCCCAAGGATTTCTATCAGTTCTTTATTAATTCCTCAAATCCATGTTTTCTCCCATTTCTATCATTTCTTTGGGGTAGAGTTTGAGGGCAAGAGCCATCAACCTGGGCTACAAGGTCACCTTGACAACAACTTGAAGTCTTCAGGCTCTGTATATATCTATTTTATAATGTTGATGTATTTGGTATTTGATAACACAGTGGAGAAATCACCATTTTAGGCAAAACATAACAGTTCAGAAAAACTAAAGGCAATCCTAATGCAAAATAAAGTCTGATCTTGAATTTGTTCATAGTGTTCTTAAAAGGATATGAAGTATTTCTTTAGTCAAAATACACAAAGACTAAATTAACCCACTCTGTCCATAGCCCCATTTCTATCTGGATTTTAAATGCCTGAAATAGTATTTTAAGTATTATGATACAGTCACCAAGTTTCCTTTCTAAAAAAATGTTTTTGAAATAGTTCATCTTTTCCCATATCTTAACCATATTAAATATTATAAAATTTTAATGGTTTTCTTCCAATCTGATATGTAAGGGATGATGTTTCAGTGTTGCTTTAATTTGCATTTCATTGGATATCAGCAAAGTTAAGCATCTTTTTACATGGTAATTTAGTCACATAAATTTTATCTGATGTTCATAGTGTTTGTCCATTTTTTAAAAAGAGACTTTTAAAGAAAAAGTTAATAGTCTTTCCCTCCAAACCTACCTTTAAGTAACGAATATTTTCTGTTAGTTTTATATCCTTCTAAATCTTTCTCCAAATGCATCCAAAATATACAGACACTTATACGGTTCTAGTCAGATGATGCCAAAGCTACTCAAATACCTAGGGGTGAAGTGTGAGGTACGGGGAATCATCAAGGAAAATCTGTCCATGTTAGTCTGAGGCAAATAAACATCCTAAAAAGAATCCTATTCAAAGATGACAAAAGGGGACATAAGCCAAAACTTTCCAACAAAAGAGAATGAAATAAACACAGCAGCATGGAGATATGAAGAATATGCTTCTGAAAACTGAACCCATAAAACAGATGAAAACTTGGAGTAAATCTACTTTCCATTCTTAGTGGAATGGAAAAAAATCATCAAGGACTCCATAGAAAAAAGGATAAAAAATGAGATCCTTATAACAACAGATCAGGTTAACAAAGGAATAGGTGATGCTAAGAAAAATCATAAAGGAAATAAACAATGCTATTCCAACATTTTTTTTAAAAATGGTATACAAAGCAATGAAAAACAGACTCATCATTGAAGAAACCCAAACCAGCGAGGTGGGGAATAGACTTGAGAAAAATAACGCAGGATATGGGGGCAAAGAACAAAAGAATGGGAAAACCCATATAGGAAAAACAACAGATATTCAGTGTAGGATGGTTGGCATTCCTAAAAGGAGAGGCCAGAACAAATTGGTCAAAGAAACAGTAACAAGGAAAATTCTAATAAAATTATTTCATTTTTATGTATAAATAAAACTTTATGTAAATATCCATGTAGAAGCAGGACCCTGACTTTTCTGCCACACAGCTCACTGCCAGAAACAAAACAAGGTTTGAAGGAACAAAAAGAACATGGCCCCAGACTTTAAGTCCAGTCAAGGTGCCAATCACCCAGTAAGGAAATAGACAAGATGTTATGAAACACTGAAGAATCTGAGGAGGAGATCACAAACACTTTTTTCCCAAGAACTAGCTGAATACATAAATACTTTTGAACATGGAAATTGTGTCATCGGAGAGAGCCAAATCCACCTCAATTCTAAGCATAGAATTAAGACTTAATAACTGCAAGAAATATGGTTATAAAACAGAATGGAAATATTCAATTCCTTAATAGAGAAAGGCATATAATATAATTATCAATAATAATTTCATTATAATTCAGTGGGACAAAAATTTAGGATACACTAGTCTGGTGCAGTAGATTTGGAGTTGAGATCGACAGAGGAGGGGGTAAAGAGAAGTAAAAATGTGTAATTGTCCTCCCCTTTCATAGAGAGAGACATAAGACAAGGTCTTGCTTCTAAAATTGATGGATTAGAGAATCTAGGATTAATCATCCAATTATTAGCAGATCTAAAAAACAATCTACAGTTATTAAATTCTTCAAAAATTGTGAATGTTACAGCAAAAGATATAAAGTGAGAATACCGCAGTGAATCACAACAAAAAAACAAAATAATCGGACATTTTTATTTTTTTTATTTTTTTTAAAGATTTTTATTTTATTTATTTATTTGACAGAGAGAGAGAGACAGTGAGAGAGGGAACATAAGCAGGGGGAGTGGGAGAAGGAGAAGCAGGCTTCCCGCTGAGCAGGGAGCCTGATGCGGGGCTCGATCCCAGGATCCTGGGATCATGACCTGGGCCGAAGGCAGACTAAGCTTAATGACTGAGCCACCCAGGTGCCCCAATAATCGAACATTTTTAAACAACAGAACTTATTATGACAATAAATGAAAAAGGGTTAAACACAGATATTTTTAAAAACTTACTTAAATTAAAACACAAAATACAGCTTGGGAATGCCTACAAAACACGTAAGTAAACAAAATAATTCAGAAAGATTATGAGTAAGAAGAAAAGCAAAGAGGTTCTAGGGAATGCAAACAAGAAAAAAGCATAGCCACAATGTGAACATCAGACAAAGCAGAATTCTCTTAAACATTCAAATATCATAGAAGTCTACTGCCATTTAAATTATTCCAGGGGCGCCTGGGTGGCTCAGCCGTTAAGCGTCTGCCTTCAGCTCAGGTCATGATCTCAGGGTCCTGGGATCGAGCCCCACATCGGGCTCCCTGCTCAGCGGGGAGTCTACTTCCCCCTCTCCCTCTGCCTCTCCTCCTGCTGGGGCTCACTCTCTCTCATGCTCACTCTCCCTCTCTCTCAAATAAATAAAACCTTTTTAAAAAAATTACACATGCACATTAAATGACTATTGGCATCATGTTCAATGGGAAGACACTCAGAAGCATCCCCCTTAAATCCTGAGGAAAGACAAAGAGACAACTTACTACCATGCATTTTGCCCTCTATTCTGAAATCAAGAGAATAAAAGAAGAGGTATAGATATTTGGGGAAAAAACCAAAATGATCAATATTAACACATTATATAATTTTCTACCTAGGGAAAGAAAACAAGAAAATCAATTAAAAACTTACTAGAAATAATAATAGAGTCAGTAAAGTAGATGGTTTAAAATAAATGTACTAAAATCAATTGTTTTCTTAGATTTCCAGAAATGACCAATTAGAAAATATAGCAGATTTTAAAAATTGCATTCATTCCGGCAGTAAAAAGCAAAAGACAGATCTAAAATTAACTTTTAAAAATGTACATGATCTGTACCGAAAAAGGAACAACTACTTAATTCTACCCAAATACTTAATAGAAAAGGGAGAAAAACAGCATGTCTTTGGATAAGAATATTCTATTGGTGTAAATACTTTTAAAAGATAATTTGGCAGTGTATATCAAAATGGCAAACAAGCATACTTTTTTAAAGATTTATTTATTAATTTGAGAGAGAGAGAGAGCGGGGGGAGGGGCAGAGGGAGAAAATACTTAAGCAGACTTCCTGCTGAACACGGAGCCCTGCGCAGGGCTTGATGCCAAGACCATGAGATCATGACCTGAGCTGAAATCAAGTCAGACGCTTAACCAACTGAGCCACCCAGGCGCCCACAAGCATAACTTTTTGTTCAGCAAACCCATTTCCAGGGACCATACAGAAATCTTATAGAAAGTAAAAAATTACAACGTGCAAGACTGAAGGATTTTGGCCTAAGCAACTGAGCAAATAGTTGTGCAGTTCCCAAAATTAACAAAGTTTATCAAACTGGCAATATGTAGTACCAGCCTCAAAAAGTGCTTACACTTTTAACCAGCAATTCCATTTCTAGGAATTTATTCTTAGGAATCATAGTCATGCTCACAGTTAGTTTCCAGGAAATTTATTGCAATGGTGTTCATAATAATGAAAAAAATGCAAACAATTTAAGTGTTTAACAACAGAATATTGTGGAACACTCAATATTTATGTAGAATATTCAATGATATGGAAAGACATACATGATATACCATAACATGAAAAAAATCCTGTTATAGGCAGGTATGTTTTACATGTATAATGTGATTGAAATTTGGGGTGGGGGGCTCCTGGGTGGCTCAGTCAGTTAAGCATCCAACTCTTGATTTCAGCTCAGGTCATGATCCTCAGGGTTGTGAGATCAAGCCTCGAGTTGAGCTCCAAGCTCAGCCAGGAGTCTGCTTGAGATTCTCTCTCTCTTTCTCTCCCTCTGCCCTTCCCCCAGCTTGTGCTGCTCTCTCTCTCTCCCGCCCTCTAAAATAAAATAAATAAATAAAATCTTTAAAAAAAGAAATTTTGTTGAAGAAAAACTGTATGAAAAAAAACCCTATATGGATATGTATATGCCTAGAAAGATACAAACCAAGTTGTTGACAGTTACAGGTGTGATTTTTACTTTTCCTTCTGTTTATATTTTCTGAATTTTCTCCAATAATCATGCTTTACTTTTGTAAAATAAAAGCTATTTTAACTTTCCTGCACTGAGTCCTTTGTGATTTTGAGAGAGTCCCTTTTCCTTGGGGGATCTTAAGTTCCTCATCTGTAAGCCAGAGGGTTGGTGATGGCTAAGATCCTTTTGGGCACTTGTCATGCTCTCTGGCTTTATTTATTTATTTAAGATTTTACTTTTAAGTAATCTCTACACCTAACGTGGGACTTGAACTCACAACCTGGAGATCAAGAGTTTCATGCTCTACCGACTAAGCCAGCCAGGCATCCCATGGCTCCCTTTAAACTACCACCATTAGCCCTGAAGTGCCCTTATGGTACTGCCCAGCCAGCCCACTACCTGTTGCTGGTTAATTCACTCTCCTATCCATGAGTCCGGGTCAGTGACCATTTCAGTGCTGACCCAACTCTTAATTGCCTTTATCTGCGTGTCTTTGCCTAAGGGCTTTCTCTGTCGGCCACACGTCTCCTTCCACCACTGCAGCCATTTAAGTGCTGGGGACCCATGGAATCCCCAAACAGGAGTGGCCTTCTTGTAAAAGCCACCCTGAGTTGATATATAGATACTCCAGCCTCTTCCCCTCAAGGGTAGCTCCCAGAATTCCCCAGTGGGACTGACCTTCAGTTGCCCACCATGGTAATGAACTTGACCATGAACCCCTTACTGGCTTTCTCCCCTTCCCTGCCTCACCTCCCCCCTCTCCCACCTGTGTGTCCTGGGATCACCTTCCATATAAACTACATGCACTACATCCTTGTCTCAGGGTCTGCTTTTGAGCAACCCAAAGTAAGATAAACCACTCTCCCCATGTCCCCTCCCCTCAAATCTCCAACTCCCACCACCTTTCACTCACAGGCTGCTGACCTTGCTTGTTATTTTATAGAAGTAGAAGCAATCAGAAGACAAAAATATCAACAGACATTCACAGAAAAAACTTTAAAGGCCAATAAATATATGAAAATATGCTCAGCTTCACTGGTGACCAGAGATGCAAATTAAAACAACTAAGAGAACTTTCATAAATACTAGACTGGTGGGGGGTGGTTATCTAACAGTACAGAGGAGGCGGGAAAAACAGGAAGTCTTGTATATTCCGGGTGTGGATACTCTTCCCTTGGAGAGCAATTTGGCAATATCTAGTAAAGCTGGAGATATGTATGCCCTATGATCCTATAACCCAACAATTCCACTTTCAGGTAAATACCCTAGAGTAACTCTCATACAAGGGCTCAAGAATATTCCCTGCTGCACTAATACTATTTTTTAAAGATTTTATTTATTTATTTGACAGAGAGAGAGAGAGCACAAGCAGGGGGAGCAGCAGGCAGAGAGAGAGGGAGAAGCAGCCCCCCCACCCCGCCTGCCCCGAGCAAGGAGCCCAATGCAGGACTCAGGTCCCAGTATCCTGGGACCATAACCTGAGCTGAAGGCAGATGCTTAACCAACTGAGCCACCCAGGCGCCCCACTGCACTGATATTTTTTTTTTTTTACGATTTTTTTAATTCATTTATTTGACAGAGAGAGAGCACAAGTAGGCAGAGCAGCAGACAGAGGTAGAGGGAGAAGCAGGCTCTCCACTGAGCAGAGAGCCCAATGCGGAGCTCCATCCCAGGACCCTGGGATCATGATCTGAGCCGACAGCAGACGCTTAACTGACTGAGCCACCCAGGCGCCCCTGCACTGATATTTTTAAGAAGAAAAAAAGGAAACAATCAAACTGCCTGCAAATAAGGGACTGGATAAAGGTATTTTAAAACAGTCATATACCACAACACCAATTATATTAAGGCAAATGAACCACATCTACTTGTAAAAAGGTGAATAGATCTCAAAAGTAAAAGTAAGTTGCAAAAGGACACATACATTATGGCACTATTTTATATAAATATTAGAAGCCTCCCGAACAAAGCTGTCTATTGTCTGTGATCATACACAATCCAATAAGTTTCAAAACACAGGTACCTTTAAAACACAGCCAATGACAGGGGTTTCCTTTGGGGATTGAGATGACGGAGGCTCCAAGTGTATCTATCATGTTTTGTTTCTTCAAAAGATTTTTTTTCCATTTCTTTAAAAGGGAGGGTGGATAAAAGGCAGGGGGGAGAGAATAAGAAATGAGACTAGACCAAAGCAAATATGGCAAAACAGTAACATCTGCTAAATCTTGGTGGCAAGTTTGTAAACGTTACTTTGTAATATTAATCTCTGTTCTTTCCTGGGTGGTTGTAATGTTTCTGAATTTAAAAGAAAAATTCTCAGGGTGGCGGAAATGTTCAATGTCTTGCCTGTGTTGGTAGTTACATGAATGAGGGCTTCTGTCAAAGCTCCCTGAACTGGACACCTAGAATGGGGGCATTTTCTCACATGTAAATGACATCTCAATACAGCTCATTTTTTTTTTTTAAGATTTTATTTATTTATCTGAGAGAGAGAATGAGAAAGAACAAGACGGGGGAGGGTCAGAGGGAGAAGCAGACTCCCCACTGAGCAGGAAGCCCGATGCGGGACTCGATCCCGGGACTCCAGGATCATGACCTGAGCCGAAGGCAGTTGCTCAACCAACTGAGCCACCCAGGCGCCCCGATACAGCTCATTTTTAAAAGAGAAAACAATTAAACAAGACATTGATTGGCAGGTGCTCCACCTCTCCCATGGGACCTGGTTCAACATGGAAGTGGAGGGAGGTGAGAAATGCTATGAACTCTGGGTCAGCCTTGAGGGTCTGTCCCTCAAACTTCAGGTCCTCGGGGCAAATAGGACACCCTTGGCTTTGGGGGCAAGAGTGGACTGAGCCCTCCTCACAGGGTTGGCTGAGTCTAATTTTAGAGCTTTGGGGCTTGGGGGAATAGATGACTCTGCTTCTCCAGTGAGTTCACCATGTTCTTGGCACCTCAATGTTCTCTCCATTTAATTTTTCAGAAGGACCAACAAATCAGAAAAGAAGTATGCCCTGAAATTGCTATTTGGATGAACGTGACATTTGCAGACCAGCAACGGAAACTGGAGGAGGTGATGTGTTTGCAACTCACAGCCTCATCTCACGGCCCACACTCCAAACAACACACACGCTTGTGGGGGAGAGCATTTGCCTGGATGGAAAAGTACAGCTCAACAGCCAGACTGTCCACAGTGTGAGAAAGGGAAGGGACGACAGGCAGGCAGGCTACGGCACACCAACCACCCAGTACATGCCAGGTCCACGGTGTCATTTCATCTTCAAAACACACTTTATCAACCCCGTTTGGGAGACGAGGAAACAAGCTCAGAGAGGGCGGTGTTGTTTTGCCACGAACACGAAGTGAAGAAGCAGGAGCGTTGGATTTGATCCTATCTGTTTGATATCAGATTCTTTACACGGTGCCTACAGCAAAGAGAAGGGGCTCAGTACTTTTCTCCTTCCTTCTTCCTTCCAGAGAAATCAGGAGAGGTGTGAAAAGTTACTGGGCTGTTCTGGAGGACAGATCCAGGGCAGGGTAACCAATGGGAATGGTGAGGCTGAGGGTGACGGAAGAATCCAGGATGAGTCACAGGTTTCTGTCCTGGGGTCAGGCACGGAGATGAGGAGCTTTTGCAGGAAAAGGTGCTATTGGTGGGAAGCAGAGACAGGGTGTCGGATTTGAAGTGTTTCTGGAACAACCAAGCCAGGAGTCCCGAGACCACTGATTTGTGGAGAGAGGAGGATGCTGGGAGGACGGGGATGCCTCTAAAAATGAGCTCCACTGTGGTCTAGAGTGACCCCTCAGTGCAATGTGTAAGGACATCAGACAGCCCGATGACCACAGGGGAGAGAGGAAATCACAGCAAACAGACATACAAACTAATGAAGCATGCTCACAGGGGCACAGTCAGTGAATGGGTAATGTTGTTCCCACCGGAACCAGGTCCTTGAGGCATCACTGTGTCACTCTGATATTTGTAATGATGATCCTTAACATCAAGAAAATATAATATTCAGTCTCTCACGTTCAATAAGGCAAGACATCTAAATCCACTTGATAGTCACTCCCATTCAATATCAAATCAAAATGATGCTTAAAGGAACAAGTTTTGGTTTCTAAGAATGTTTACTGGGGGGAAACTCTTCCAGGAAAGAGGCTGCCCTGGAAGGAGTATCTGGCATCAATTTTTTAAATCTGTAAATAACAGAATATCTGTTACACATGTAACCTTACCCAGAGCTCAAGAATATAAAGCACTAGCCTGGTCTTTCTGTTTCCCCAACCACAGTTCCTAGGTCTCCTCAGAACACAGTTTGAAAACCACAGGGCTTATGTAACAAGGTTATTTTACTGATGGATAAAATGAGAGCAAAGGAAACTTCTCTGGGGCCACCCAGAAATATAGCAAAGCCCAGGCTGAAGCTGTGGTCAGGGGCCAACTCCCAGGTCTGGCTTTCATGAAATCTGAAACTTAAAGGCAGAAAGAGCAGACAGCCCTACACTCCACTGTTACAGAACTTGCTCCTTGGTTACAAGGATCACCATGTTCTTTCCTCTGGGTAACCTGAATGTAGTGACCCATCCCACAGTAGATGGGGGAAGGGGTCCAGGTGGAAAATTCCAATCCAGGGTGAGCCAATAGGTCTGTTAAGATTTCTTCTATTTCCAATAGGTAGAGGAGAAAAACACATTCACATATGATTGTCCTTATAGTAACACCTGCTTTTAATGATGGTGAATTTTTGCAGTTGCTCAAAATGAGATAGAAAAAGTAATGATAAAAATTTTAAAACCCCGGGCAGTTGTTCCAGTTAAGTTCAGTTAAATATGCCCTTAGGTAGAGTAGATGTGGTGAGCAATGTCTTGTCAGAATCCCATCTCCTTGACGAACCATGAGAGACGATGGACTCTGAGAAACAAACTGAGGGTTCTAGAGGGGAGGGGGCTTGGGGGGATGGGTTAGTCTGGTGCTGGGTATTAAAGAGGGCACGTTCTGCGTGGAGCACTGGGTGTTATACACAAACAGTGAATCATGGAACACTACATCAAAAACTAATGCTGTAATGTATGGTGATTAACATAATAAAAATTAAAAAAAAAAAGAATCCCATCTCCTTGACCAACACACTTGCCAGCAGAGAAGGAGGTCATTGCTTCATTTCTTGAGAAGGAGTGTGCATGGTAGAAAAGACACAAAACTTGGGAGTCAAGCACACCCAATCCACATCAACTCAAGAGCTACAGGTGAGTGAGAGCCCCTGTAAAATGGGCATAATAATATCTGCTTCAACAGGCTACTGGAGGATTGAATGAGACCAGGCATAG